GAGAGAAGTAGGTGGATCTAGCAGACTCTATAGTAACCTTATAATCAGATAAGTAATCTCTCCAGGCCTGATAATGTACATTTAGGCCTGGAGAAACATTACTAGAGTTTGCACAATTTGTCACCTGTTGTGACACATTGTACTTAAGAGTCATGATCGGTGAATCATGCAGAAAGACTTTCAATAAAAACGGCATTATGTTAAACAGAATGGTACTTCAGCCATTGCCATTACATGCATGTTAACCACTATAAAACCCCCCAAATGAAAACATATTTAAAGCTTTGTTTCTATCAATATCACTAGTAATCAACCACCTAGTAACACTAAGATGACACTCTTATAATACAGAACCTGTTGAAAACCTGTTTTGAAAAAGCAAATTCCTTACAGGAGGTAGCAAGCACTCCTAATTCCCCAATGACAGATGAAGAGTTTTATTCAAGCAGCAGGCACCACATGGGCAAAAATGAAAAGGGGGCTTGACACCCCAGATTCCATAGCCTCAGGGAACTGGTCATTAGTGTCCTTTCGCAACTCCACAAACAGGTCTCTGCTGAGGAGGCTCACTAATGGCCAATAAAAAGAGTACAGAAGCAGTAAAACTCCATGAGAGTAAGAAAGAAAAAGGAGCTGCATTCAGAATGATTCATGTGGCAGGTGATGCCAGTGCAGAAAACTGAAACATTGAAACACATGGTATGTCATCCGAGCCTCATTGCCAAGTGAAGATGAAAATGAGGTGTCAGACACTCCTAGCAAAAATGATGCATCAAAATTCCATTACATACAGGAAAAATATCTCTTGTTATTTTAATGTTTGCTCCAACACTGCACAGAGGAGAATAGTGCTGATCTATTGCACTAGAAGATCCATTTGCATTAAGGTCCTGAGTGGTTTTCTAGGCAGAGGCAAGTTGTGCTCAGACCCCTTGTGTGTTTCTGTGTTCCCAAGTCACACTTCCTCTTGTACTGCACTTCAAACTGCTCGAGGGCGCAGTGCGACGTCCTCTCAGTCCAGTTTTTACATTTCGTTTTCAGTGTCGTATGCTTGAGAGGAATAAATCCCAACATGCTGTTACGTTTTAGTTTGTATATAGCCTGCGAGCGATACATGAGGTTCCAAGAACACCAGAAGGGTCACTGCCAATGTGAGCACGCTGTACAGTTATCCCACTCGCAGCTCTGCCATCATTGTCATGACAGCTTTCACTGGGAAACTCCAGTCCTAATTACGGTAAGCAATATTACATGGCACCTTTAAAAGCTCCATAATATGCAAATATGCAGGCTAAACTGTAAAATCAAATTAAAGGGAAACCACAAAACCAAGAAGACAAAGCAACTTCTTGAAGAAGTATGTTTTTTGCCTAGACTTCAAAGGACCCAATGACACTGAGTCCCTGATTTGGGATGCTGTTGCAGAGCTTTAGGCATGGCAACAAAAGGTCACCTATAAAGTGCAGACAAACAGCAAGTTTTATTAGCAAACTCACACCACCAAACAGCTGCTGACAACACATCCCACATGCAAACACAGCCAACTCTCCTCATCTCACAGCCACTCAAGGGGGCACATCACTTACCCACTGCCATAGAAAACCCTCCAGTGCCAGTTCTCTGCACTGTGGCATCTTGCAAAACTGATCTGATCTTTTCATCTGTTTATGTCCTGAAAAAAATGGCCGTTTTAATTTCCAGGTAATCTTTGCTTTTGCCTTCGTTTTCGCTTTGTCCTCAGCTTCATCTATTTAAACCTTGTTGTTGTTCTTGGGAAGATGGTTGCTTTTTGGATTTCAAAGAACACTTAGACTCTGTTGTCTCTACAACTGTGACAAACTATGTTCTCTGATGTGACAGCAAGGTGAGAAGGGCATATTTTTTCAGTGTATGTTCCCATCTGACCACGAAGGCATTTTTTAACTTTATCAAACTACATAAGCAAGGTATGACTAGATATTTTAACCAGGTGCCAGGTTCTATCAGTTCTAGGGTAACAATTATTACTGTATGTCACCTAGTAATGTTAATATATTGGCTTTCAAAAACGAGAGCACAACAAAAACTAGAAACATAACATTAAAACATTGACGTAAGTTTGAAGTCTTTAGGACTCATCAGGAACTGACCGGCACAAATCAGTCATTTCAGAAAAAGCAATACTCTTGATTTAATTGCAAATACATGGACACAGAGGCCAAGAAGACCGAAAGCCAAGGAAGAATCAGTGATGTATTTCCCCTCATATGTGTTTTATATGTCTACAGCAGCAAGTTAGCTTGGCAACAGTCAAAAAATGGAAAAACCACCAGGAAGCACTTGAAATAAGGAAAACAGACACATGTCAAGGATACATGCACTAATATACTAAAAAGAAAGGGTGAAGGGAGAGAAGTTGCAGATCACCGTTCAACTGAATTCCTACCGAGGTACACTGGATAGGATCAAGCCAGCTCAGTAATCAAAGAAATGTACTTAGATGCACTGCAATTAATGTCATCTGTACAGCAAGACAACACTTGGGCACTGAGATG